TTAAATTGAATTTGATACTACTACGGACGACTGATTGACTGGCTGTTTTTCCAGCTGTTTTCACACAGTATTTCTACCGACAGCGTCTAAAAGTGATTCAGTGGAATCTTAACACCCTATATATTCCTCTGCAGTATGTTAAACTTGAAAGAAATAAGCGTAAATCTATTAAATTCGATACGTTTCTTACCTACGTGTAATCACCGATTCATACGTAGTGCCGTATGACTTATGACTTGTCCTTGAGAAAAACTACACACAAAGTGATGACGTCACACGTTATACGTCGTACGGAAGGCCTTGCCAAAACTCTCTAAAATTAACACACGTATACTTCACATAAAACACGTAATAATTTTCACATTTATCGTAAGATGCTGCTAGGATTAATAAAAACAAATGTGTAATTAATAGACTTAAGAGTTACATTTTTTCATTCAAGTTTTAAGCACGTGAGATGGTCACACACATTGTAGAGCTTTACTTACGGTGTGTGTGTGTGTGTGTGTGTGTGCGTGCGCAGTGGCGGATTTAGAGGGGGGGTCAGGGGGTCCTGCCCCCACGGTGGGTGGGGGGGAGGGGGTCGGTTTCGCACCTGCGGACCCCCCCCCCTTCAAATAATCCTGGATCTGCCCCTGCAATATGTGCCTATAAACGTACGCTAAAAATTTATCGTCCCACATTAATTTAGGCCCGTGGGATTTAATAGGTCAAAACCCCCCAAGGATTTTTAAAAATCTTAAATATCCTTGATACACGGAAGGAAATGTCCCTGTTGTCTCGGAATTGCACAGTCAGCACATCTAACGCAATGAGCACCTTTTCTACCACAGCCAGTACGTAACACCTAATACATCGCACTTGACGGTGGCCGTGCAAGATGTCCACACAGTCTCCATTTTAACATAAAGTTAGGCATCTGCGGACCCCCCCCCCCCCCAAACCCAAATAATCCTGGATCCGCCCCTGTTTAGAGGACACAGATTTGTAAGTTATTATATTTTATTTATCTGATAGATTTATTAAGTAGCTGTCATGTCAGTATATTTAATATCAAAAATACTGCTTACAATGCTAATGAATGTAAATTAAGGCGTGGCTGTCAGCTCAATTCAGTCAAGTGTAGAAGTATTGTTCCCATGTTGAGGTAGTTGGTCATTTATAAAGTAGCAGACATGGCATGTCTAATTACATATATTGAAAACATTTTATTTGTACCAGTTTGACATAACGTGGTGTGTAGGTTTGTTAAGTCAAGTTAATTTGAATCACACATTAAGTTGTCATTTGTCAGTTATTTTCTTTGATTTAAATTTATTTAATGCCTGTATATCTATCCATATATTAATACATAAACCGATATAAAAGTGCTCATTATTTAGTAGTCGTATAAGCTATGTTTTGTATATTTTTGCAGATTTGAACCATTTTCTTCGTCATTCTCTGACATTACCTCCATCTCTATCAAGTCAGATCACTTCAATACAGAATAAAGAGATATGAGTCCAAATATTGTCGTCTCCTCTTGTTCCAATATCTTCAACGTCAAATTTCCCAGCTTCTCGTAGAGTCACCCGTCACAGGGTCATTATTCTTGTTGTCTTTCTCACTCAATTGTCATCGCATAAACATCGACTCCTAATAAAGTAGGCCTATACAGCTTAGAGCTGCTTTTTAAGGCAATCTTTTGTATGTCAGAAAATGATGTCAAACATTAGTTCTTGCCAACATCAGTGCTATAATAAATCAATTTTTTTCTACCCAAGAATAACCCATATATTGAACATACAATGAACACAGTTTATTTGAAGACGCTTTCTCTATTTACAGATGTATAAATTAGCACGACTCTAGTACAATGTATTATTATCATATTTACATTACGAAAACCAAACTCTTCATTCCGAAGTTAATAGAATCAGCGCAGCGACAGACATTTTGTTTCATCTTTACATATATCACAGTGTTTGTCAGTCTAATAAATGCGTAAGTAATAACTTGAAAATCAAATAAATATTTCTTGATTTTGTAGTTACACCGCAATTTCCAGTCACAAGATCTAATGGTGAAAATGGACGATGATAATGGAGAACATGCGCTTTGATTAAACGTCAATATCGCTTTTTCTGCTTAATGTTCAATTACCTGTATAAAGTTATGATATACTCATCGTTTTTGACATATCGCTCATAAAAAAGTCCGCCTGAGCTTAAACTGGTTCGAACGGGACTCGTTCACACAAACCAAACCAGATTTGAACCGGTCTAAAATGGCGTCTCGGATAAAGTGTCCCAGAGTTTCTGGAACTCACCTCTGAGGTAACTATAGCCACGCGTCTAAATGTTAACAGAAAGTGTTCAACTGCTTGCGGCAGATCAACTCTTGGATGAATGCATAGGTTAAGAATAAGACGTACACTCCTACAAAACTGAACCCGATGAATTTGTTCAAGACGAACTTGGATCCCATGAAGACGCCAAGAGTTATCAGCAAGACCAATAGCAGCAGAAACCCGAACTTCACATGGGGCACTATGTATAAGAATGTTTCCTGGAAAGGAGAATGAGTATTTTATTTTAAATGAATTGATATATTTTTATTAAAATTAAATTTAATTTAATCATGTTCACATGAAAGATGTCGATGATTTTTTTCACTCAACCTGCAAAATCGTAATTTCTTTTTTAATAAAGGTTTCTTTGTGATTTTCCGATACTGTAATATGCTTCACTAAGGCCAATAATTCATTAAGGTCACATATTTCATTTTTGATAACCGTTAGCTCTTAATTATTCAAGAAAAAAAAGCAACAGGTAGAGGGTGATGAATAAAATGGTTGAAAGCAGAAGAGAGGCTCCCCCCCCCCCCCCATCTGCCCCCTCGCTTCTACACCTGTGCTATTGAAACAGATAATCCGGCAAAAAGTTTAAAAAAAAAAAAACTTACACCGGGTTGAACCAGATACACTGGTGCTCCACTCTGTATGATAACCTTGATAAGAAAAGGCAGCCCAATACCCAGGTTGATGTCAAACACATTAGATCCTATAGCGTTAGACACCGCCATGTCTCCGTACCCGTCTCTGGCTACCAAGATGGAGCTCATTGCATCCTGAAACGATATATTTTATAGATAACGGTGACATAGACGCAGAGATAGATTGGGCCAGTCATTAGAGGTGTACAATGCAAGTTAGACTTTTATATAGCATTTTTTTTTTGTTAGTTTCGACACTTTTTTCTTAAACAATTAGGTAAAACATATCCAAACCTATTCATGGAATTATGATCTCTACACTCGTTTTTTTAGTTCCAAATTACTAGATTTTGCGTCACTTAAATTTCGTAATTGGCATAGGGACTGGCGAATTTCTCTTGACAAAATTTATCTTTACTCATTTGTTCATTCGTTAATTACTAATCTTTCAATCTTACTAACTTTTATTTTCTGAAACGGGAAATGAATTTTTGTTTGTGTGCTTTACCTTTCTTTTCCAATGCTTTAATCAAATTTAATTTTCCACAGCAACTTTATTTGATTTTTACCTTAGCCCTTACCATCGTGTGGTGGTCTACGCTTTTTCCGTTTTGTATTTTGAAATGAAATTAGAAATTACACCAAAAAGGGACTGGGGAACCAAAATTAATCCGTGACAATGGCTGCGTCGAGCGCGAGTGCGCTGTTTCGATGACTCTCTTAAGGGACTTAAGATCAAAACCGCCAGAACTAACCGGCACACTCGTCCCGATGGCTATGAAGACGAGCCCCATGACAAAGGTATCGATCTCCAGGATACAGCCCATTCTTTCTACGACCACTATCATGGCGTAACTCAGCAGCCCAATCCACACAACCGACATCAAGAAGCTGAACCAGAACCATTTCCTAAGGGAAGATGAAAAAATAAATAAATTTGACGTCTATGACGTCATTCCCATAGATTTTAGATCGATCTATCCCTGTGGGGAGTCTCACTAGATTACTGTCAGCTTAGCTGGCTTAAGCGTCTGTCCCGCTAAAAGCTGTAAGGGGGTAATTAACTATGGTGCGCGCTCGGCTGACTGCAATTTAGCGTGAACCCCCAGGGAGTTAGGTCGATCTAAATCTAAATCTCTGGATCGATCTAATCTCTGGGAATGCACCCTGTTACACAACCAATATAGGACTACAATGATAATATTGCTACAATTCCCTCTGGGAATCTTCTAAGATATATCAAATTGTTAAAGAAAGTTGCCTATACTCACTATGAAGGTTACATAAAAATAAAACGTAGGACTAAATGTATCAATATAATGAAGCCTCCTACACAATGGCAAATATCCAGTGAAAACCATTTGGATGTGCCAACACGGATGCGATTAACACAGTGTTGTTAACTTGTACGGATTGAAATTTAACACCTATCACGATCTTAATCTCTAAAGTTACCGGTGATACTTACTTGAGGTGATCTTTAGAGCAGTCGGGTATAGACCACGTGAAGAGGACCACAAAGGGAAAGGAGATCACGAAGAGAACCCATTTTAAAATGAATTTCGACCACAGCCAACATCCGCCCTTTTCTTTGGCTTCTGAGGAATCTGGGGGAGCCATTTTGAGAGGCGGAAGACACGGGAAAATGTACATCTCCGGCTCTATCTCTACTATTGATCCCTGGAAGATGAACGGAACAACGATAAATTAAATTGTAATGAAACAGAAATATTAGTCTATAATAAATATCAGTAGGATAACTCTTTTTTTTTCTTCTTTTTCGTTGTTTTCATCGCTGACGTCATCCTCATCACATTTGTGTTTGGCACCTCTTTCTCTTCCATTGAAAGTGTACTTCTTTAAATTACTAAGTCGCTCATGGTTGAGACTCTGAACTAGATTATTGTGAAAAATACCGGGATATTACAGGGAGTATTCAGTTATTATAGCCGGCAGCACATCGGGTCCGACTAAGATTTTTTTACTCCAGCCTCTCGTAGTATGGCGCAATATTTTTAGTAAATAAAGGAAGTAAATGTTTGTCGCAGTGTTGGAGCGCTCGTGTGTGTGTGTGTGTGTGTGTGTGTGCGCATGAGTCAGTTCTCGCGCGCACGAGAGAATTTTATCTTCAATATGGTAACCCGGCAAATAAATTAGACGCCTACCCCTTACAGGGTGCCTTGATTTATTTTTGACTAAAATTTTGGGGCAGTTTCTTCATGTACATTTAGTAACCTAAAGCATATGTAATTGAAACATACTCTTATACACGAACGTTGTCGGCTGTCGTCACCCTGAGCTTCAGAGATAACTTGACACTAACCTCTTCACTGAAGCTCAGGGTGGCTGTCGTAAGCCATGAAAGAAAGGAGACCGGAACGATTACATCTTACTCGATATAAATAAATGCGAACATCTATTCTTTTACGTAAACTGCACCCTGCGAACCGCAGTGACTCTTCCTAGCATCAATCGCGGTATAGCCTACTGACAGGGTTGAGAGTCACTGTGAGTTCCTTGAAACGCAGGGTGGCTAACTGATACACGGGGAAGAAATCAATATTAAATTATCTAAAGAGAGTTTTTTTTAACAGAAAACGTCTGTGAAACGCTTGGACAGATCTTTCGTGGATTCTTGTGTGTCTTCGTTGTTACCTAATTGCACTTTTCATAAAGTCGAAACCTAAAAGATGCTCTTTGCTCTTTTTTTTTTCAGACATGTTGGGTCTTCACAAATCCCATATGCGACTTTTACCCAACTGATAAGCAAGACAAAATAAAATACGGGTTCAAAACCGTCAAACCAACCATTATCTACAGTACACATGTATGAAGACCGTCAAACGCAAACAGTACCTGATAAAAAGTTTCAGCAACGTAATAGTTGCTAACAGCCGTGTGGTGTGTGTTTTATGTTTATAATCAGTTCTGAGAAAGAAGAAGGTTTTGATGTCAAAGTGTATATGATAAGTCATCCAGTAACATACATGGCAACAGTGACAAGGAGGTCGGTTTCGTGATGATGTCCAAAGGTATAGACGACACCTCGAAGTCCATGCTGTAAAATATTGTATTCACGCGAGTCTCCAGCATTAAGAGCTTCAATTTTTATGCAGAATTTAATGTCATAGACGTCTGTCGCCAATAAAGTAGAAATCGAATGAAGTGAATCACGAGTCAAAAAAAAAAAAAATCGTATACAGCACGCCATTAGGTGTAGGGGAGTTTCGGTTATGACTCTTAAACTATTTTTGTTGTCCCCAGACCCTAATTTTTACTATTTTTTAAAAGAACTTAATATAATGCAATAAAACAAATGCACATTGCAGTCTTACCTCATTTGGTGACCCGGGCTTCATCCCATTCTCTTCAGAATCGGCCTCTGGAATCGGCGGCTCGGTATGATGGACGCTGGGTCTGACGGTGGTCGAATGACTACTGGAGCTATAGACCACGGACAGCCTCTTGGTGGCCTGGTGGGAAGCAGGGGACATGGGAGAGGAAGGAGGAACCGACGATAAATTAGGATTAGAAGAAAATGTGGGTGAGAAGTCGGGAGGGAGCATGGCGGCAGGGTTGCAGTGGCTCTCTTTGGTAGTCGCGTAGTCCTGGTTTTTCCGTAGCTGCCCGTTTTCGTTAGCTATCAAAGCCTTTGAACTGTCCGGCGTTTTCGAGCCGTTTATTTCCGAGGAATTGTCATCAGCGGAGATGTTACATTCACTCTTAATAGGGGGTAATTTCACAGGGGACAAAGGCGCCATTTCGTACACCTCGCTTAGCCTTTGGTTCATTTGCAATGGCGGCAAAGAACCTTTCTTTTGCAACGGCGGCTTATTTTTACTATCTGTTCTCTTAGTTACATTGGAATTTTGATCATTGAGGGAAGTCTCAGTTTCAGTGGTCCAATTATCAGAGAGTGGCTTTCGGGGACCGTCTCGAGGCCTCTCTTCCGTTATTGGCTCCACATTGGAGCTGGAAACGGCAGAGTTGCAGCGGACTCTCTCAATACAAGGATCCTCCGCTGTCAGAACGGACCCGTTTTTAAAAGACCTGTGCGTATTTAATATACCCAGAGAATCTCTACGATGCCTGTAAGTATCTTGATGCCCCAGTGAATTCACTCGATAGCTACGGAGCTCCGACTGACTGGTTTGATTACTCGTTTCGTGACTATGATACCCGCTATCTTTGTGGTTTAATTTCGGGCTACCAGGTGGCGACTGCGACTACCAAATCGAAGAAGGATTGGCAAACAGAAATCGGAAACAAGATAAAAGGGTGTAAAACAGGAAAATAAGCAATAAACAAGGGGAAAGTAACATGGAAAGCAGAAGATATAAGCAAGCCAAAAGGGGGAGAAAAAAGAGAAGAAACATGTTGTTAGTTATTCTGCAACAAGAAATGGAGGCAGTAACATATTAGTAATAACTCCCGCCCAGCGTTTCTCAGGAATGCATATTTAAAGTTCTTACCTAAGTCGGATAAGAAACGGGATTAAGCATCTGTAAATCCATGCTGTAATGCCAAATTCTTGACCGACTTCGGTAAAATAACCCCTCGTGAAACTAGGTTCTAATCAGTGTCAAGATCTACCATTTGCCAATAGGCCTAAATAACCAAGGCTTTCATTCGGAACCCTACTCTACTGGTATTTGGTCTAAGCAAAGGGACATGCAATATTTCAATCAATTCATAGAAACCTTATGCTGAACAAACCAACCATCAAAGCTAATTCAAAACCTAATAATTGGCTGTAACGAACGCTACTGACAAATCGAAGCAAGTTCTTATATTTGATATATTACTCTTAACGATAAACGCAACCAGCTTCGAGAACTACATTACAAACTTTTACAAAATTTGATAATAAGAGTACGGAATACAATATAAATAAGCAAAATCCTGAAGTTGGCCACTGCCAAGAAACAATACACACAACACAATACTCAAATACGTATCGTAATTCCATGGTAGTGGTATTCATTTTAAGATACGGAATGATTAAATCCGTCAAATGACTGCAAGGTTCGAGCATTTTTTAGCTCGAGGCCAGTGAAACGGCATCATTTCTGTCAAAATCAAATGATTTCAGACGATCTGACCTTTGCATTGCTGATTAACAAATTGATCAAATGTTGCACACTGGGATTGCAAATCTAATTTTTTAGCGCCAGGTCTAAAGTAAACCTTCATATCCGTACAAATATAATTTGAGACTGTGATTCATAAAGTTAGCTGATATTTATTAAAACTATGAAAATGGTATAGGATGTCTAGGGAAAAGTGGTAATGTTACTTAAAAGCTACTTGAACTTTTGAGACGTACATGTTAATTTAGTTACTTTTGCAAACATAAAGTGATCTAATACCCTTGGGGCAAAAATTGTCTGCTTTTTTTTTCTTGAATCACAACAGTGTAGCACGTATCTTGTGCATTACGCACAGACACTTAAGGCACGTTGGAAGCTACCCAAGAAAATTATGCAACCGGAGGAGAATGGCAGAAAGTATTTTAAAAAGGAACATAATTTCCACGAAAGAAATGAGAAAGATTTCTTTCAGCCATCTCCAAATAAGATAATAAACGGTCTTGGGTCTTGGCTTTACGTAAGCAGTAATGGAAAGTGCACAAGGCTGTTTATATCGGACCCCCCCCTTATCAACCCCAACACACAAACTCCCCCCCCCTCTCTCTCTCTCTCTCTCTCTCTCTCTCTCAGGTTTTCCAGATCCCTTGTGTCACATTCAGTCTCGAAATCACCATTCACGTGATCAAAGTGACGGTGGATCGACAGTATTACACGACATTCGTGATTTGGTCTCTAAGCCAAAAATTAACCCTCTTCAAAACAAAACATTTTATCTTAATTACCAAAAACAAGACAACAAATTAAATTTTAAAAAATCTTCAAAAGAAAACAAACAAAAAATTAATCTCCAATAAAGAACAAAGAATATCTGATGTATTAATTTATGAACAGTAACTTACAAAGTTTCCGGACAGGGAGCCGTGGTGGACGTGATGAAAGTGTTTATCGTGGTGCGTGTCGGGATTGGATCTTCCTGAGATGATTGACAGACGGCGAGCATGGCCGCCCGCCATTGACAGCTGAAATATGAAACATGAATAATAAAGAAAGGATTCCAAAGGAAATTGAAAAAGAATCAGATTTGGTGGGAAAAAAGGATGAATCTGAGAGGGGGGTGAAAAAAAAAGTTTAAGAAAAAATTAGATACACAGTACAGATACAAAGGTAAATAATTTCTCTGTAAAATGTTTGTTTTGGAATGAAACAGTAGACCTACGGTATTCCATTTTAGTAGCCTGAATAAAGAAGCTTATTAGATGTTCAAATGTTTAGCAGACGTTGCCAACTCGAAGATTTAATTCATATGTACTTGTCGTCAGGTTTTCCTCAAAAGCTGGCTGTCTAATATGCAGATCTGTCCAAATTTCTAACCCGTCTGGATCTGATGATTATTCATAGCGTTTTAGCAATTGTTGTCTCATACGCTGTATTTTTATGCTGTTAATATGTCAACGTTGATGGCCTTTTTTCAGTTGATTATTCTAGACCTTCCTGCAGTTTCCCCAAAACGTGCATTTTAAACTGCATATATATTCAGTCTCTGCCAGTTTTGTCAAAACCCCGATTGTTCTCAAACGATGTAAAGCACAGCACGTCTGTAAATGGTAATTTTTAGAAAAATGAAAAAGACCCTGTTTTTACCTTTCGCAGATCGCCAGACTGCAAGGTGGCACTTTTATGATTGTGGATGTCGTCCTCGGAGTCTTGTGTCCCCGCAGCTGTATCTTCTACTGTGGGGACAATGACAGGTCGACACAGACATGGACTGCGTGAAATATGAACATAAACATGAATATTAACAAGAAGAACTCCACTATATATGCAGTCTATGACTGGGTTGCCATACCTAGATCGATCTAACAGGATCGGTCCATCTCCAAGGGGTTTCTCGCTAAATTGCTTTCAGCTTAAGCAGTTTAGATGTCTGTCACGCCTACTGAAGCTGCTAAACAATAATTCATTACCTCCTAGCACCTTCAGAAGGCGTGACAGACATCTAAGAAGCTTTAGTTGATTGCAATTTAGGAACAATCCCCTTGTAGATAGAACGATCCACAGTTAGTACGATACGATTTGGGAATGGTCCCTTTGAGGACCCATCAAGTTGTAGTGGGTCAAGTTCAGTGCTGTAGCAAATATAGGCGTTATAACTTGACCGAGATTTTTTTTAATGAATAAAACAATAATTTCTGGTCATTTACAGTCATTTTCTGAGCATTATGTTCACTTCAGATATTAAAGAGAGAAGCAAGAGTTATGGATATTGGGGCCGCTTCTCTCCTAAGCCCCCAAAATGATGAAAATGCACTGATAAAAATGATAAAATGACTGTGACTGCATATCAATATAATTTATCATTTAATTAATGAGGCCCACCAAGCTTTAAGGTGTCGTTTCTCATTAATTGAGATAGTTTTACCTAAGGAAGTTCGAATATGTAGTTGGCTCTTATGTACATATAAATATGTATGAATGTCGATACAAAAAAAATTAAATAAATAAAATAAAAGAAACAAAGAAACAAAGAAAAAATAAAGAAAAAAATAACGAAAATCACATTAAACAAAGACAGCAGTAAGTAACCTACCAAAAATTCCATCCGGCCATCCATTCCATAACTTGTATATTGAATTTCATCAGGACTATATACAAAATATACAGAAAAAGCAAAATGGCCGTTTCGTAGTGCTCTAATTTGCCGTCCCAGGCAAAAACTATGAAGACGCCAACGGAAGTGGCGTAAAAGATGGAGTCCCTTATTAACGGCCGCCAGTCCAGATATAGCACCTGTTCAGAAATCAAAGAAAAAACAGGTGAGATTTGCAACGTTTTTCTGAAGATTAAATTTTGATATATGAATGCCACAGACTCGGGTATGATAAATACGTGCAGCGATCATTTATTGTATTGTGAACTCGTTCAATAACATAAAGTATCAGCAAATACATGTAGTACCAGACCTACATAAACGGCTTCCTATTGATATTCTCTCTCTCTCTCTCTCTCAGTTTCTTATTTTGTACTTTATGGCTTAAATCACGCAAATCATACGCTGGTCTGATTAATCGCCTAATCAAAGTACTTGGGCTTCCTATAAGGTAGGAATCAGCAAATCGATTATGAAACACACAGCCGTTCTACTCGTGTCGAAGAACAATGAAAGAAAGAAATTGCCAATTACTTTCCCTTTGTGGTGCGCTGAGAGTGTCGTATTCTATCTTGCAAATATTTAAGGCCTTGCAGACAAATCCTACTATTAGAACTAATGTTAGGAAATTACTTCACAAAAGAGAGACGATTTGTTGATTACTTCATGGATGAGATAGAGTGACCTTATCATGTATACGTAGACAATGATGATATATTATGGGTNTTTTTTCAGTTGATTATTCTAGACCTTCCTGCAGTTTCCCCAAAACGTGCATTTTAAACTGCATATATATTCAGTCTCTGCCAGTTTTGTCAAAACCCCGATTGTTCTCAAACGATGTAAAGCACAGCACGTCTGTAAATGGTAATTTTTAGAAAAATGAAAAAGACCCTGTTTTTACCTTTCGCAGATCGCCAGACTGCAAGGTGGCACTTTTATGATTGTGGATGTCGTCCTCGGAGTCTTGTGTCCCCGCAGCTGTATCTTCTACTGTGGGGACAATAACAGGTCGACACAGACATGGACTGCGTGAAATATGAACATAAACATGAATATTAACAAGAAGAACTCCACTATATATGCAGTCTATGACTGGGTTGCCATACCTAGATCGATCTAACAGGATCGGTCCATCTCCAAGGGGTTTCTCGCTAAATTGCTTTCAGCTTAAGCAGTTTAGATGTCTGTCACGCCTACTGAAGCTGCTAAACAATAATTCATTACCTCCTAGCACCTTCAGAAGGCGTGACAGACATCTAAGAAGCTTTAGTTGATTGCAATTTAGGAACAATCCCCTTGTAGATAGAACGATCCACAGTTAGTACGATACGATTTGGGAATGGTCCCTTTGAGGACCCATCAAGTTGTAGTGGGTCAAGTTCAGTGCTGTAGCAAATATAGGCGTTATAACTTGACCGAGATTTTTTTTAATGAATAAAACAATAATTTCTGGTCATTTACAGTCATTTTCTGAGCATTATGTTCACTTCAGATATTAAAGAGAGAAGCGAGAGTTATGGATATTGGGGCCGCTTCTCTCCTAAGCCCCCAAAATGATGAAAATGCACTGATAAAAATGATAAAATGACTGTGACTGCATATCAATATAATTTATCATTTAATTAATGAGGCCCACCAAGCTTTAAGGTGTCGTTTCTCATTAATTGAGATAGTTTTACCTAAGGAAGTTCGAATATGTAGTTGGCTCTTATGTACATATAAATATGTATGAATGTCGATACAAAAAAAAATTAAATAAATAAAATAAAAGAAACAAAGAAACAAAGAAAAAATAAAGAAAAAAATAACGAAAATCACATTAAACAAAGACAGCAGTAAGTAACCTACCAAAAATTCCATCCGGCCATCCATTCCATAACTTGTATATTGAATTTCATCAGGACTATATACAAAATATACAGAAAAAGCAAAATGGCCGTTTCGTAGTGCTCTAATTTGCCGTCCCAGGCAAAAACTATGAAGACGCCAACGGAAGTGGCGTAAAAGATGGAGTCCCTTATTAACGGCCGCCAGTCCAGATATAGCACCTGTTCAGAAATCAAAGAAAAAACAGGTGAGATTTGCAACGTTTTTCTGAAGATTAAATTTTGATATATGAATGCCACAGACTCGGGTATGATAAATACGTGCAGCGATCATTTATTGTATTGTGAACTCGTTCAATAACATAAAGTATCAGCAAATACATGTAGTACCAGACCTACATAAACGGCTTCCTATTGATATATTCTCTCTCTCTCTCTCTCAGTTTCTTATTTTGTACTTTATGGCTTAAATCACGCAAATCATACGCTGGTCTGATTAATCGCCTAATCAAAGTACTTGGGCTTCCTATAAGGTAGGAATCAGCAAATCGATTATGAAACACACAGCCGTTCTACTCGTGTCGAAGAACAATGAAAGAAAGAAATTGCCAATTACTTTCCCTTTGTGGTGCGCTGAGAGTGTCGTATTCTATCTTGCAAATATTTAAGGCCTTGCAGACAAATCCTACTATTAGAACTAATGTTAGGAAATTACTTCACAAAAGAGAGACGATTTGTTGATTACTTCATGGATGAGATAGAGTGACCTTATCATGTATACGTAGACAATGATGATATATTATGGGTGCTTTTAACAGCAGTATACTTTTTAACCCGATACACTGAGAGAATGGACAACATAACAGCTTGGCTATTACTCAACAGAGTCACCTAAAGAAAAGATCCTAAGATACGCCGAAAAAAACTTCATTTTTCCTTTCTAGCTAGGAATTTGGTCAGTAGACCAATAACTATTCAGAAGTAATAGGTAGGTTACCGAAAAGTCTTGAGGATCAGGTGATCTGTAACCCCCTCCCCCCCCCCCCCCCAACACTCCCATCCACTTTTCAATCTCTCTTTTGCCGTAAAATCGACCGATGAAAAGAGATAACTCACCTGACCAGCTAAGGCAGCCGAAAGGGCAATGATTATCAAAATATTGAACATGGCGGAACTGAAAAAAGAGAGAAAATACAGGCATAAACACGATATAAAATGAAAAACTCTGGAACATTTTGTTAATCTTTGTTCAATATGTTCACAATAGCTTAAATGCTATTCATAAATATAATTTCTATTTATAAATACAATTTCTATTCATAATCGAAATAGGTAATTAAACTTTAAATTCTTGCTTTGTTCAATTGATGAAATAATGTGGAGAGAGGGAGTCACCGGAATGCATCAGAATGGTACCACGCAAAATGATTTTGATTTAGCCAAATCTCAAAACTCATTTAGCCAAAAAGCAATTACTGAAGGTGGGGCTTAATGACCGTTTTTCCTGAACACATTATGTTTCTAGGTATTCTTCAAATACGTGTACCATACATGTCGGACAAACCTTATCGATATTACTTCTTTTAAGTTATCATATAGACCATCTTGTTTTAATCTTTATTGTTTTACGATAGATTATGGGAAACAAATACTGTAATTTTCCTAGCCTTATGTATTTCCCTTATTGCCTTACCGTTTAAATTTCATTCAGACGGCAAACCCGTAAAATATTAAATTCTTTTGAAACGACGCCATGAGTAATTGATGCTTGGTGAAAATTAGTGACAGTACAGCATGTATCGTAATTGTACTTCAGAGGGAAGTTAGCGATTATCTAACGTCACTTTGAAAACATGGAAATATATGTGATATAATATTACATGGACATATCGATTTACCAGTGCACGAAAATTGATATTGATTTTTCCATTGTGATAAGTAATAAAGTGTCATACTCGAAACTTCGACTTCACTAGAAATCACTAGGCATTTGTTACCTTTGCTACACTTTTTTTTCTTTTTGAGGCAGACGTGTTGTTTGCAATAAAACTGGCGATACTATTAGTAGCATGCATCTACATCGTTGATTTATCGATGGATGTAAGCTTAGCCTGATTTTAATATAAACTGGGTCCAAATGAAAATTACATCAAAAAGTCAGCTTCACTACTCTTTGTTTTGTTTAAAAGATAATTAATTGTTGAAAGCCTACGAATGGAAAATTTACCCAGCAATTGTACCAACTCCAACGTCATTATTGTCTGTGGCGAGACCAACGATAGACGTGAACAGTTCAGGAGCAGACGACCCGGCGGCCATGAAAGTTGCGCCAGCGACATCTTCCGACAAGTCTAACTTTTCAGAGATGATCTCGAGAGAGGGAACGAAGAAGTCATCGCAAACTATGGCAAGCGCTGTAAGAGATAAATTAGATTATGTTTAATAAAATGAAAATGGTCTGCGCTACATCATCATGTGATGAGCATCTGCAACTCACAGTGTGTGTGTGTGTGTGTGTGCGTGTGTGTGTGTGAGAGAGAGAGAGAGAGAGAGAGAGAGAGGGAGGTAAAGAGAAAGAGGGAGTGGCTTAAGCCCCCTTTACACTGGACGACGTCCTTTCTGCGTTCCGTAGTGCGACCCCGCTTTAAGAGTTAAAAATAATAATATTACGTGCCGACAACTGGCCGATCATTGAGCATTCATTCTGCAACCAAAGCGAAACTTGTGCCGCCTTTCTACGACCACAGCGATGCCGATTTCATGGACCCAGAAAGGACGCCGTCCAGTGTAAAGGGGGGTTTTAATGACTTAGTGACAGGGTAAGAATGAAGGAAGCATTTTAATGGCATGGCCAACGAGACAAAATAATGAGAGGGAGAGATTTCAGATGCCATCAGTCTTTCGATATTATCTCAACTGTGAGTCAATTGCATTCGTGTAAAATCAAAACCGCCCTGTGGCTACTGCCGATTGCTTTCCATTCGTTAAAAATCATCTCGTCTCTCAAATTAGCCCAAGAGTATATTATATTTTCCCTACTGGCCATTGGCAGTGATGTTATCAATGCCAAGAGAAACAAATTTTGATGAATAGCCAAAATCACCATGTTATCCAGATCGTCGTCCTGTTAAAATGCTTAGCTTTCTGTCTCTGATAAAAATGGCAACTAGACAAATTAGCACGTTCTGTTTTTAAGACGTTCCAACGCACCTTTAAGGCAACGCGCATACTGCTGATTGTAATGAAAACAGAAATAAAGGAGCACATGTTATAAAATGTCTTGTGCATCAAAAGTCGCATGTTAGTATACACATGCTAAGGCATAAAGGTACCATGGTTAATATCGTCATTACAATCGTGGAATTTTCTACATTATTTCAATTTATCTTCATTGATTTATCTACACACAGAGTATCTGCTCAACAACGTCATGTGCAGCTGGTTAGAGTATTGTTCTTAATTAACGTCATTTGCTCTAAATCTTCAATATAGGTCGAACTGATTTGTACTGTCCTAATTATTCACGATATGAATAATATTCATCATTTGCCCAATGACTTACTGCCCTACCTTACTTTGAGACTAACAGATGCCAGTATTATTTGCCACGTTATACAGAAAAGTGGATGTTTTCCTAAGGTGTGTTTTTACTCTTCCACGAAGTATTTCCACTTCCGGACAAATTTTCGGATAAGCAATTAAGATAAACTAATTTTAGCTCTGCTCATTTAACACACCAAGCGGGGAAAATACTTTGAAAATTGACACACAACAAAAAAAGCGCGATGGACATGCCGTTGTCTTGGATTTACGAATGAAAATCCATAACATGACAGTTGATGAAGTCCGTTTAAATCCCAAAAGGGGTTTGAACAGCAAGGAAATTTGCACATGGTAATGCAGCATCAATGCAACCAGAGTCCAATACGATATTTTTCACATAAAAGTCTATAGAATTAAAAGCCTCTCAAAATCAGGCTTTATAATCAAGTCCCTGTATTGTTTTGCCCTTAGGGATCTCCCATTTGTCTAAATTCAAATTAATTATATTCTAAAATATAATCGATAGCGCTCGGTTGCCGTGATAGTCTAATTTTAGAACTTTGATCGCAATCATGGGAGACTCCGGTCATATTTAAAGGTCAGAGTTTTCAGGAGCGCCCTGAAAAACCGTTGGTTCGTTCCCATTAATGTGGCGTTTGTCATCTTTCCAATTGGTAGGTCCATGCCACAGTATGAATCACATTTAGGTTTAAATTAACCTTCCGATTAACAAAGTTATCAAAACATGGCTGCATCTGAAACACCATTCAAATCAATTTGGAGGTGATCGCATAAGCAGCCTAACACCACGAATTAATGAAAGTAAAGCGAATAAATAAATAAATGGATATAATAAAAAAAAAACATAACGAATATATAATAACCAGATTAACAAATAAATGTATGACAATGGGAACATGTTTCAGGTTGGTAAGATTAATGCTAAGATGTCCTCATTTGCAATTCTCTCGTTCGACAACCTGCTCTATCTGATCTGATATGCGAAGGGTTACAAATCTCGGCACATCTCAACAGCCCTGGAGGCTACAGACTTCTCCAATCCGTAATCCGAAGCAACGCCGATCGCTTAACTGTGATTCTTAATACTCCCAGGTGGCGAAGTGAAGTGCCTGGATATCTTAGGTGTCTGACATTCTGTTCTAGAGAAAGAGTGTACTATAACGGAATGTTTTCTCCAGTTAAAAGTCGTGTTCGCAACTCGTTCAAATGTCGGCGTTTTCTAGACAGTAGTTTGCGTGAGATAGGCTTTATCGTGGATATCTTATTATTCGTGGATTTCTTTGGTTTTAGATGTCTTTCAAAAGTACATGTTTGGTAACAGAGTGTTACTTAATTTATACAAGCTATACTCAAGGCGTTTGGCCTTTTATCAGAGAGAGAGAGAGAGAGAGAGAGAGAGGATAAGACAAATATATAGGCCTATTTTCTTGTATATCTCACCTGTGAATGACACAATGATAAGAAAGAAGTAGAATGCTACCCATAGTCCTGGAAGGCCTTGTAGTTCCAATTCACAATGCCTTACATGCTCCTTGAACGTGCTGTTGGCCGACGAATTATCGGATGACACTGATAATAAATGCCTAGATTTCCACTGGCTTCCTGGAAAACAAATTAACCGTTCGTGATAAAAATAAATGAACCAAATTTCTCGTTGATGGGAAGCTCCCTTATTAACTCCCTAAATGATTAAGACAACGTACCCTATATCAGACTTATTTGTCTTGAAGATTGGATCAACGCCCGGTACACATATATTTAGACTCGTGCGCACGCTGTTGGATTTCTCACAGTATCAGTTCTAGTTAAGACGTATAAAATGACTTTAATGGAAACAAATGATTACATTCTGTTCAGCAGGACCGGGTTGCCTGAGCGAAGTGAAGTTACAGATAACGCGCCCATATTCACAGAAACGCATTTCAACGCAAACACTTACCTGTATCTAAGCTAGGACTAGCGTGACTCTTGAGAGGAAAAGAAAATGTTCCAATGACTGCTAAGATAAGGATAAAACTGCATATCCTTCCTATACTTCTATGCCTAGAGATCATCTCTTTCCTATGTCCTAGCATCGTGTGCCACCGTGTTTTCCATTTGTGCATACTCATGCTGAAAAAATAAACAAAATCCGATTTCTTAAAGTTTACGACACCTACCAAGAAGCGATATTTACAATTTCAACCTTCCATTCCGTTTCACTGTCCATTCCGTTTCACTGGTCTGCGTAACCTTCAGCAGATGCTCGCCGCATTAGAGGCAGCTGATTTCTACGGGCTGGAAACGAAATATCATCTACCTTTTAAAATTTTCCTGTCGATGAGGGTCATATTAAACACGTAGGCGCTTAATATCCCTCGTGTGTCTGTTTGCGAGAGGCTCAAGCGTTAGTTAGAAAGTGGTAACCACGTCGTGACGGTTAGCGCACATCGCCGCGTTATTGCGCAACGTCAGTGACGTTTTAACGTCTTGGTGACGTCAACAATGACAATAAGGTCATTAGTGACGTCATAAAACAGCACTGTTACCAGAACAAAACAAAATTTAGCATTAAATACATCTTGCAAAAATTGGCATTTAAACAGAGACAACAACATTTAGCTAAATTAATATTTTAATTTTAATTAATATCAAAATTAATAATTAAATTATTTTTTCTATTGCAGTTATGATATACAGATAGAAAGAAAGACCACAAAAGAAAGAAGACGATATAACAAAAAAAAAAACTGTCATTTATAAATCATTGACACAAGTATGTGGAAGTAGGCCTACGTGAAATTATTCTATCAGAGAGGCACAAATTGCTTGTCAGCATAGTTTTTATAGCCATTTTTAGTACTAAAAAGCCTACGTAGGCTATCAGCACACGCGAGACATAAAACTACCGTACTAGGCCCATTAACAGTACATCTTTGTCGAACTACCTCCTTTGAAAATCTACGATTATTGTTAACGGTTCGTAAAAATCGATATTTACGTAGTGGAAAAGTAAATCGTTTTTAAGAAGCTAAGCCTGTTTTCTTTGCTTTTTAAACCTATGAAGCATGACGTTAATGAAGAGCTACCGTGTCAAGCCTTATGAGTAAAACTGCACGTTGAGTAGCTGTAGAAACGATTTACTTGTTCGCTATTGTCATACAGACGGCAATGGAAAGCCTGATCACCCCATATTTATTTAGCAACAGCGGCATAAAAACATTGGGCAGGCAATTTTCAAGGATAAAAAAAAACAAAGTTGCGGCAAGAAAACCCTCACAACATGTTTTCCATCATGACATATTACACCAGTAATCCACGTATATACTGTATACTTTTCATAAATAAATGGATAAACTTTCCTACGCTCTCTGTTCAGGACAACGAAGTAACTAATATATTTGGCCACGTCACGCTGATACCAGTATTTCAAATATTCACGCGTCAACGGACAGAAACCTGATTTGAAAAGAAAGCCTTGCCAAATCATGAAACAACATATAAGGTTTCCTTTCATCTTAGTCATTCATCCTTTTTCTGCGCGTTACGTCTCACCTACAAAAAAGACAGTAAAATAACCCGCCGTTCCCTTACCTAGTCAACATCAGTGCCTTTCAAGATAAATTACTTCCAATTTCTAGCTGTTTACTGGTTCTCCACAGGTAGAAATCTATCGGAACCACAATCCATCTACGAGGGTAGACCGAGCTTCTTTTTTGCACGGTGAAAAAAAAAATAAACACTGCGGCGGCGTTTCTACTAATTAGCGTAATCTCGAGAAATGTTAAATGTTTTTAAAAACGTTTTGACATAACAAATAGCACAGTATTTTCCCCACAATTCACCTCGTACAATAACTGAGTTATGTTGTTAAGGATAAAAAGCACTTACATCGTTTTCTCCGTTTGCGTCAACAGGAAGGTTGAAACAGATTCCCTTTTTGTTTAACTGATAATCTTCACTTAAGTTAGAACTCAACGTTGGGGTATGTTTCTTCCGATTTTTCTCCCTATATGTCCCCCTTGCGAGTTTTCCCCTACGATCCGCCACATCTGTGAAACTAGCCAAACACTTCCCTACCGCCAAGTAATGCAGATATTGACCATTACTTGATCCTCGTGTTCTACTGATCGATTTTCTAATGGTCCGTAGGTTTTTCTTTGAACTCTATAGTAATTACTAAGATTTCTGAGGTTTATGAGTCGAAGGGGATTTGTCATTCAAGCGCGCACGAGAGGCGCTCAACAATGGCACTGAAGTGTCGATCGAACCATCGCTACAAATCATATTCTTCTTTAAGACTCATATAGGCCTATATATATATCATTGTGTTGTGTAATCAAATGAAGTCCTAGTCGCAAATAGGTTCCTATTATTTGGTTATATTCTTCTTTAAAAGACACGTATATCTATGTATGTTGTGTAAGCAAGTGAAGTTCTGTTCACATCGATTATGACTTAAATGTCCTAAGTTGAAGTTCAGGAAGAAGGTGAATTGATAATGATCTTCCTCTCTGTTATCCCTTACGTTATCCGTTATCCATTCCTCCCCTGTTATCCGTTATCCATCCCTTTTGTTCTCTCTTATCCATCCCCTCTGGCATCCCTTATCCACTCATCTGCTATCCCTTATTAACCAGTTATGAACCTCTTATCCAACGTCTTTGTTACAACTATTCAATCACCTATCCCTCTGTTATTCCTTATCTATCATATGTCGCTTCTTTTATCCCCTATCCATTACAGATTATCCCTTATCCATCCCCCTCCCTCTCTGTTATCCCTTATCCATCACGTACTATCCCCTCTGTTATCCCTTATCCTTATATTCCCTGTCCTTATGTTTCTGTTCAAAGCATATACGTGTAGGGAGTTGCCATCAAGCCTCTGCGACCCAAAATTAAACTGTACGCGTGTAAGTTAAAACCTTTGGGAACAGGGCTTACTATTAAGACCTTTTTCCGTGATGCTCCACTTTTGAAGGCATACCTCACCTGCGATCACTTTAGACGGAAGGTAGGATAATCAAAGTTAAGCTATTGTTTAGTGAAAGTAATTGCAATAGCAGTGGTCGACCAATAAGGTTGGTTATGACAGCGAGTTAGAATAAATAACACAGATAGAAATCCACGATAAACGCATATAAACTTTACTGGCATTTTTGAATGACAGAGGTGACACGTCTATAAATAGAACGCATGCAACACGCAGGATATATCAATTTCTTGAATTTAAAATGCCAGCTTATGAAAAGGGCAAATATTTGCATCTATATGATATTCCGGTGACCTTTTGCTCAATCCTTTCTACCGGAATTGAGAATTCTTTCAGCCAAAAGCTACGCCCCCCCCCACCCCCGTTACTTAAATCCACGGCCAATCCCTTAGAAAAAATTCTTTTCAAAACTATTTACGTGGTGAAAATTGGCTCAATGCATACGTATAATATTGCATCTCGTGACTTCTTGATGCCAATAACCTAATATTTAGGACTTCCATGAAATTTAGATAAACAAATCGGGAGTAGATTAATCCTGCTAACAAAACAAGTTTTATGAGTCATCAGCAGGTACGATTCACGTGTTTTTTTCCAACTCCGAGGAAAGTGTCTGTTTCCTTTCCTTAAAACTGCGATTTTCATTAAATTGAAAAAAAAAAGGAAAAGGAAGCAGAGAAAAACACTCGATCTGATAATTAAAAAAAAAAAAAAAACACTCGTTGACGTTTCATCCATATGCCTCATTAGAGAACTTCAGCATGATTTGAATCCATGAAAATAACAAATAACATTTTGGCAAGGTTTTACCGACATATATATATCACCACCTGCTTTTACTACATGGTTTAAAATGATACGGTGGGTTAACGTCCTTATTTGAAGTTACCTCATTGTGGGACCTTACCTAGACCGATGAGCTACAAGTGCAATTAGATTGTTTTTCTCTGTTATTGCAAGCCGTCACCAAACAAAATTAAAACAACATTTTGATTTCCCTTTAGAGTTAGGTAATTTCTAGCTGCACAAGCAGGTTTATTCGCTGGAAGGGCAGTCCCGTCTCTGAAACGCAGCAATTTGTACTCTTAGCATTCCTTATTGTGTCTATCAACTGAAATATTGACCCCGTGTTTATTGCATTATGATGCCAACGTCCTTTACGGTAATACGCAGACAAAGGTCGTAAACTAAGTCTTAAATATATGAATCAGGCAATTTGCACCAGTCAATTGAGTGGTATATTAGGATAATAGTGTTCTGAGTACAAAATAGCTTCAAATTAAACGGGCTTGGTTCGTCGTTCCGTGTTCAGAAGATCAAGTCCGTATACCAAAGACTTATAATGTATGTGACAGATGTGTCTCTCTGGAATCTTAATCTTTTTCTGCAGGTAAAATCTGCCATAAGTAGGAGACATGTACAGACGTCTGACTGTGATAAATTGAAGCTTTATTATCATGCTATGATAAGGTAATGTTTTTATCAACCTCAGAAAGAAAGAAAAATAACAATACACAAATAAATGATAAGAAATACCACACGCACGTGCGCGCGCACACGTGCTTATATCCTATGTGCGTGTGTATTCCATACGGCTAAATTTTTATCTAACATCAAAATATTGAATATTAATAAATTAAAATATTTCTGTGGTGAATGTCTGCCAGATGCAAAGAAAAAAATTAAGAAATGAAATAAAGAAAAAAATTCAAAGAAAGAACAGCGTCTGCTACAAGGCACGGGAATGTCTCTCTTTTATCCGTGTAGATTAAGCTACCACCGCTGTAAGAACTAATGTACATGATGTATCAGTAACCTAAATATATAAACGAGCAATTTCTTGTAAAAATACACCGCAAAATGAATACCAGTGCATCAATAAGTTAACCAAACACAGAAATGACGATTGCCAGCCATCGTGTTCAACACCAGCTCACAGTTTGGCCTTTGTCTACAAGGCGGAGAAGTAAAATATAAACTGGGACGACTGAGGACGTTCACCCTCCTCAGTTTTATATACACTTTGATGCACGACGCTTTTTAGTGGTCGAACTAAGGAGATTGCAGTAGTATACACGGGCATGCAGTTTTATATGCAGACACGATTTCTTATTAGCTTTTATTTGGTTGCATAATTTTTTCACCTTGGTTTCGAACGCTCACTTATTTGCTGAGTAAATTTGCTTTCTATTTGGTTTAAACTGAACACCTACAGATATACGTCAAGAAGTAATGTAAATAAAAGGAACCGATGAATATGTAGCGTGATACCTGCAGTAAATTACCCAGGCAATTTAGAAATGGACATAAGAACGAGGTACCTAACGGTAATAAGGGCTTCATCGTGAATACCTGGCCCCAGTTTTACAATAAAAAAAATAATAATAAATCTAAAAAAACTTTTCA